ATGATCGGATCTTCACGTTCAAGGACTCATCCTTAATGGTTCAAAGGGGTGACTTCAAATAAGCTAATTAATTAGTGCAGACGATATTTTAAGTTACGAATTCGGATTTCCGACCCCCAAAATGTAGGAAATATGGTCCTAATAGCTTGGTTAGGAGAACGGTGCGAAGTTTGGACAATTTAATACTTTTTGTCTATTTCGCCATATCTCGAGAACATTTCAAACAAATTGAAAATTTTTGCTCGCAATCAAGAATAATCCCATTTAAAAAATACGTTTGTGTAAAATACTTAATATTTTCTGTTATTTAATAATAGTCGAACAATTTTTGAATTGTAATGCATACAATTTTTGACTTCATTTCAAATCATCTTATATCACATGGCAATTTACTAAATTTCAGCGAAAAATCGGTGGAAAATTTCTAAAAAAATCTAATTTTAAAGAGGTTGTATTTTTAAAATTCGATTACTCGGGATTCAACCGATTTCGTTCAAATTTTGTATTTTGCCTTGAGAAATTAGAGATTTTGAAATGAGGTCAAAAATTGTATACCTTACTATTCAAATTTTTTTTCGACTATTGATAAGTAAAATAATAAATATTTGCTGAAATTTATTTTTTGTATCGAGATGTCTTTGGATAAACGAATTGTATAAATGTGTGCAAAGATTTTTCAATTTGCTTTAAAAAAATTTGAGATATGGCGAAATGCGCAAAATTAAAATGTACATTAAGGGGTCCAAACTTAGGTCATATTTCCTAGATTGCAGCTAACCCCTATACTTTGAGGGACAAAAATCAGAATCAGTCCAAGAAAAAGGTATGTTTATTCAGAGTAAGTACGCAATTATGTCTTAATTTTGTAAATATCGTCTTAATTAAAATATTTAGTTAGCTGTCTCATTAGTTCATTAGCTGTCACTGTATTTTATTTTAAATCTTTAAAATAAGATCCAAATCAGAAATGAATTTTTATAACTTATTGTCTCTGAAATTTATCTAATTCCAATCAAGAATAAAAGCTACTTTTTTGAAAACATTACAATTAAAAAATCTGAAGCAGCTAATCAAAAATTTTATCTATTTTCCCTGATTTGTATCGAAATCGAAGAGATGAAAGGGTGATTATTTTTTTTTTATATATATATATTTTTTTTTAAGAAGAAAAAAGTTCAATGTTGAATAAACCACTGGGGGTGATTTAATCCATCTAAGGATATTTGACACCTTATTCTTTTTTAATATAATCTTTCATTTTAGGGGATCCATTACTTCAATATCTACAACATTTCAAAATATATTGTGCTCTTATGTTTATTCTTTACATCAGTTTCAGTTGATTGATGAATTTCTACATTACAGGTTCAGATAAAAATGTTTTATCTTTCCCTATTCTTTCATTTGTTCGATAAAGTTTTGTGTACGACAATTTTATTAGATATTTCTAATCGAAAAGGTGGTAATATCAATACAAACAAATGCAATGTACACATAATTTGTAAACCACGATTTGAATAATAAAAGATTAGTTCAGACTGCTTTGTTTATAAATAAACTACTAATACTATCTCTTGTTAACAACCAGAATAAAATATATTTATGATAACTGCCTAGCGTTAATTAAATCCGTATTGTTGTTTTGATGCCATTGTTGATATTTACAGTTTGAAAGATTCGAGATACTTTTATTAAATAGAAACTATCAAATATTTGTTTGAATTCAAGACTGTTCGTTCAAGGAAAAGTCCAACCCAAATGTTTTCAACTCAGATTTAGACTAATTTGTCAACCAAAAATGTGTAAGAGTTCCCTAAAAACAGGGATATTTATATCCCCGTTTTTAATAATATAAAGAAGCTATATTTTTTTCTTTTAAAAATGGCATTTTTATATAAAACTGTTTTTTGCATTGTTTCCAGATAGACGAATTGCAAGTTTCCGGAATATTACGAAATACTCAGAAAGAACTAATTTGAAACCTGAAAAAAGTTTTTTTTTAATCCTAAAACGCTTTCCTAAAAAATTTTTTAAAAAATGGGCTTCACGATTTTATTACCCTATATGCCCTTTAACTATGAAATGCTAAAATATGAAAATTACAATCTAAGTTCCTTTCCACGTTTATTTATCTTCACTTTAGATATATTTTGATCTTTTTTTTTTCTTTCCAATGTCAGGCACTGAATTTTATTCGTTTCGCCTTAGAAGATGCCGGAGTTGTTACTCATTTCACGTTACCCAGTGGGCACCTGTGAACCAAAGTCACGGAGACGAGCAACAACCTATGCCACTCTGCCGCAAACACGTTCATAGGGTGGACTACATTCACACATCACACACAACAGAGGACAGCACAAGAGAGAGTAACATCCATGCCCAGAGCGGGATTCGAACCCGCAGCCATTGGCTTCGCAGTCAGGCGCGCTAAAACCTGGCCGGCATATTTTGATCTATTTATCATCAAAACAAGGAAATTTTCCTCAAATTTTCTTTTTCATGGATTTGCAAACTGTGTGAAAGAAAACTTCTCATTTTTCTTCTTATGGGATTCAAATGCCACTTACCGAATAGCAATGTGACTTCACTTCGATCTTCATCGTGAAACTTTGTCCTTGCCTAAAAGGAAACTTTCCTTGTCGTTCTTCTGTAAGCCAACTATCATGCTGTAATGTATTCCGAACTGCAACATTTTTATCCATTCTAACACTTATGTGTAGTGGTCTATCGGAATACGTAGTATCTATTCCGGCAAGGAGGTTTATATCAAACCTGCGAATTTTAAATGCAATTTAATACATTTATTCAGAACTAATTTCAGAAACTAAGAACATCTACATTGCTTATTTTTTATTTATTTATAACCGTTGCTGAACATCCGATCCAATTTTCTGTTTACGAAGACTAATGTTCAACTCCGAAGAAATATAAGTTTGAACCCAATCCGGAACACAAAGGAAATCCAGGATCAAGCATTGGGAGGGACTTGCGTTCTTGAAGGAATTTTTTGATGGAACTAACCCTCATTTGCATTACACAGAGAGGAAAGCCACGAAAACATCCTACGGTTAGTGTGGCTGCAAGGGGACTCTAATCCACACTCCGTCTACCACTGAGGATATTTTACGTTAGCACTGTGGTCGGTCTATCTCTCGGATTCGAACCCGATTCAGCTCATTGGAAGGCGCCCGCTCTATCCCCTGAGCCATCACGACTCCATCTACAATACTTCAAGTCTTTCTTTGGAAATGTAAGTGGACAACAAAACCATGAATTAAATTAAGCAAGATTTTTAAAAGAAAGGAGTAACGGAGCGCCAAAAAAAAAACACCCTGAATTAATAGGTGCAGACGATATTTTAAGTTAAGAAATCGGACACAATAACGTATTTTCTAAAAATAAACATACCTTTTTTTTGACGGATTTGGATTTCTGTACCCCAAAATGTAGGGGGTAACCGTAATCTGGGTAATTTTGTTCCCCATAGTTCGGTGAGGAGAGTGGTCTAAAGTTTGGACACTTTAATGTTAATTTTACTTTTTGCGCATTTCACCGTATCTTGAAAAATTTTCAAGCGAACTGAAAATTTTTACACACTGTTATAAAATTTGTTTATCTAATAATTCCACGCAAAAATAAATTTCAGTATGTACTTATTAATTTTAATTATTTTATTAAATAGTAGTCGAAAAAAACCGATTTGCAAGGCACACAATTTTTTACATTATGTAATATTACATTGCAAAATACAAATTTGCTCGAAATCGGTTGAATTATTCCTAAGAAATTTAATTTTAGATACATGACTTCTTTATTAATCGCATAAAAAACTTTAATTTTTATATAAACATTATTTTTAAATATTAAATGGTGAGAAAACAATTTAAATTTTTTCGTTTTAAATTAAAGGTGATAATGAAATGTGCTGAATAGAGTAGATAGAAAAAATTATTTTTTTAATTTCGGAGAGCTTCAGAGCAGAAAAGTAATGAAATCATTGTAATGAAAATGAAAACTGCATAAGATTTTTTGAAATCGATTAGTAACTTCTGTTTGCGCAAATACTTAAAATGAATAAAAACTTTAAAAAAAATTATATGGTGCAATTTTTTCAAGTTGGCAATAAGTTTTGAAGGAAATAAGCTTTAGTGGTTGGTTGAATGGATCGTACGTTGATTGATGGTTTGAATAGCCTATATAATCTCAAAATCCATATAATTAAAATTCAAAAACTAAAAATGCCATATAATTAAAATTTGGTTTCTCAGAAACTATTTGACCCATTTTATTCAAATTTTGTTGTATAAAATTACATTCTATAAAATGGAGTAAAAATTGTATGGTTCACTATTCAAAAATTTTTCCACTTTTATATCATAGAATATAAAAAAAGAAAAAGAACCATTGAAAATTAACTTTTGCTCGGATAAACGAATTTCATAATAGTATGCAAAAATTTTTCAATTCGCTTAAACGTTATCGAGATCAGACGAAATACTCAAAAACCCAAATTACGATTAAGGACTCCCAAACTTTGGACCGCTATCCTGACTTATCTATTGCGGCCATATTTCCCAGATTGCGAGTGCTACCTCTCCAATAGTTCGAGGGTAAGGAATACAAATACGTCGGAAAAAAGTTTCTTTCTGAAATATATTTTTGTATCTGATTTCGTAAATTAAAATATCGTCTGCACCAATACTTGCACATTTGAGGTTGGTGTCTTGGGATATTCATCCACTTTTAAATGCACGTGTATAAATTTTTTTTATATTTTTTTCCGCACATGCGCTGTATAAAGCAACTACTTCAATTTCTCTTATCTGGCGCGGTTTTTTTTGTTATTTTTTTAATTTTAAAGCAGTAATTTCATTATCAGTTTAAAATTGATTCAAACGCTTTGTTTAATTTTTTTTAAATATTTAAGCTATAGCAAAAGTGGCACTAGACCTAGTATATATTTCGGACATTTACCAAAGGTCTAGTCATACTAGGTCTGGTTAAGTGCCATTGCCCGGTATACNACAACTAGTATATCGAATCTAAAATGCCAGTACAAAATATTAAAGTTAATTATTGCAACATCATACACGTGCAGAATATTAAAATTAATTGTACCATCAGCTGACCTTAATTTAGTATTTTTTTTAAAAAAAAACGTCGATACTCTGTGAAAAATTACCAGTACTCAGAGTGTCGGTACCTTTTGCAGAAATAAACATTTAACAAAAATAACCCCAATATGGTAAACACCGATGTAACGTTTTTTTTTCTTCTTAATTTTCATAAAAATATCTAATAGTCGTATGGTCGTAAATTTTGATATGAAAATTCATTATTAACTGACAAAGTTAATTCCTCAAGTAACAAATAAAGTAAATGACATTAAATCAGTTATAATGTGCAAAATTACTAGAAACTTCGGTAAAAATTTGTTTTACCATTTGTTAGTCTATTACAGGAAAGAATTATCATTTCTTTTATTTAAATAGTAGCATGAATTGAATTCCATGAAAAATAATAATTTTGATTTCTTATTTAATAAAATATATTAATTTTACAATAAAATATGAATTTTTTATGAGTAATATGCTTAAATATGTATACAAAACAAAGCAAACAATTCTGATTGTGTTCTACAGCAGCATCTCTTCTATCATAATTATAAAAAAAATTACTTCTATTGATTATAAATACATTTGCATGAATTCTGAAGTCCCATACTAAATAGAGCCATTTTTAACGAAATCATGCAATTTTTTTTTGTCTATAATTGTTAGTGTGTTATGATGGAATCTTCCACTAGAGAAAAATGCATATGTTTACGGATAAAATTAAATTCTTATAAATTTGACAAAAAATAAATAATTATATATTTAACCAGACAAAAGTATACCTTAAACCAAAATAAAATTAACAATTACATTGCAAACATACAACAAAAAATGGAAGCAACATTGCCCACGCCACACTGCCACAAACCCGTTTATAGGGTGGGCCACATTCACACATCATACACACAACAGAGGACAGCAATGTAAGCAATGTTAAGAAGTAAGCAATGTAAGCACTTTAATTTGCAATGAATTGAAGCAAAAAAATGTATATATTTTTTACCGTAATACTCACATCTGTAACAGTATGCGATCACGAAAACGAAGTTATCGATTGCAAGTTTGTTGATAATAGAAAGGTAAAAATTATTGAGAAATTGTTCTTGGCGCGTTCTGTTTCAGGAAGATTTACCAATGTTCTGGGTCGTTCCTTAAGGAAATTTTGCTTCTTATTTGCTGCTTAAAAATGACGTCCTACTCTGCCAATGTTTTTGATACAACTAAATGAAAACTTAATAAATAAAAGCCTCAAAATATACTTCCCGCTAGAGGGCGTGTTCAAGCGTTGCGATTGCGTTCCTTAAGGAAATTTTGCTTCTTATTTGCTGCTTAAAAATGACGTCCTACTCTGCCAATGTTTTTGATACAACTAAATGAAAACTTAATAAATAAAAGCCTCAAAATATACTTCCCGCTAGAGGGCGTGTTCAAGCGTTGCGATTGCGAATATGAAGTTAACGATTGATGCGCATATTGATTTTTTTACAATATCTGTGATAGTTACTTACTTTTAAGGTTGCCTTAAGCATAAAATGTTGAAGTTAATTTTACTAGAAATTATCGTGTCTTTCGAAGTAGGTTTGGTATTATGTCCATGTCTCTCAAAATATCAAATTTCTTTATAAATGAAATTTATTTAGTTTAATAATCTTTCTATTTAATTGTTACAGAGTCCCACGTCTTCTTTCGACTTTCATAATCCTGTTCAGTATTCAAGGTTTTGTTTACATTGCTGTTTGAATCACGCGTCTAAAAAATTGTCTAGAAAGGAGTAGTATACTTTTAAGTAATAACATTTCAGTTCGAAGCAGTTATTTATTTCTAATATTTTTTTGAAAAGTAACGTGATTAAAAAATTGAAGTAAAGAACATTGTTATGTGTTATGAAGAAATGTGTTGAAAAAGTTATTACAGTCCTACCGATTAATGAAAATATTTGTGCATCGCGTTCTGCTATTCATAATAATCGCTGTTTATTATTTTTAATAATCGAATTAATTAATCGAATCGAGTGACATTGCCCGTTTTACTCCAAACTCATGTTTTTTTTTTGTTTTTTTTTAATGTTAAGTGCCACTGCTCGGCCACTGCACGGTTTGACCGGTATCGCCTGATTTATATATTTTTTTTAAAAAGCAAATTTTTTTAAAACACGATCTTGAATAAATTATGAAAAGAGCTTGTCTTTATGAAAGTGGCATTAATATTCCCCAACGTGCTTCTCAAATCAAAATAAAATGAATAAATTATGTTTCTCTAATTTTTGACAATTCTTTTTAACTTTCAATTCAACAAAAACCTTATATCACTTTATATAGGCCAAAACCCATAACTTAAACTATATGAAGTTAAACTATATGTAACTGAACTATTTATAAGATTCAGAAGTGTGAATTCAACTATGTGATATAAAACTTATTAAGATTATAAATGATAAAAGAAGAAAAAAAATTATTCTTTTTATTATTGAAAATAATGTAGTCTTTTATTAGTTAATAGGCTGATAATTGTCTTTTTAAACTTTATTTATAAAGTCGGGGTTCCACTGAAAGAAGGTAGATCCATAGCCGAAAAAAATTGGGAACAATGGATTTAAGCTATATTGCCTTGCAAAAACAAATCCTAAACTGTTATACAATAACTCAACAAATGTCCGCAAATTCACTGAAATATCTATTTATTATTTTTCCTTGAAACTGAAAAACAAACTAAAATTTAAAATATCAACTAAACAACTTACCGGTCTCACAACTTGGGATGTCATTGCTTCCAGGAACCAATAACAGATAATCTAAAAAGAAGCAAAAATTTTACATAACGCATACCTGCCAACTCTTCCGGATTTTTCGGAAGATTTTATTTTCATATTTAAAGTGGTAGTAAATATATACTATTTTTTCTTTTATTAGTTGAGTGGTAGTGGTACAAATAAATTATTAAACTTTCAAAACAAACAAACGATAACAAGAGATCGAAATCAGTATTTTGTGTATCCACCACGTGCCGCAATAAGTGCTGCTACACGACGTGGCATGGAGTCAAACAAATTTTGAATGTCTGTCTGAGGAAGAGCATTCCATATTGCTTGTATGCGTACCCAAAGTTCGTCTGTAGAAGCAACAGGACGAGGATCATGAGCGAGACGCCGACCAACGAAATCCCACACATGTTCAATCTGCGACATAACCGGTGAATACACAGGCCAAGGATGAAGCTGTACCTGCCGCGATGCAAGGAAGGATTGAACAGTCCTAGCAATATGAGGGCGGGCATTGTCCTGTTGAAATGCAGCGCCTGGCAAGGCTTGAAGGAAGGGAGCAGCTTGGGGCTGTAGAACTTCACTGCTGTACCGATTGTTGTTAAGATTACCCACAATTCGTAGCAATTGAGATCGTCCATGATATGCTATGGCACCCCAGACCATAACTCCGGGTGTTCGTCCACTGTGGCGTTCGATAAGGCATTCCGGAAGGTGGCGTTCACCGGCATAGTGTCTGACACGAATGCGGCCATCATGGTACCACAAATTAAAGCGGGATTCGTCAGAAAACACGACACGCTGCCAATCAGCACGCCAGTCCCTATGCTGATTGGCTCAGTGTAGCCGCAGGCGGGGATAGTTTAGCGTGAGGGGGATCCTGTATGAAGGAGACCTTGCGCGCAGTCCACGCATCGCGAGCTGACGTGACATTTCGGGGCCCACTCCTGGATTTCCGAGCTGTACGACACTCGTCCGTCCACTGCTTCCAAACACGCTTCACTGTGCATCTGTTACGCTGCACACGAGCGGTTACTGCACGATAAGACAATCTAGCTTCACGAAGACTGATGATTCTCCCCCGTTTAAACTCCATAAAATGTTGAAATCTCACTCTCTTTCGTCGAAGTGGCATAAGTAACGACTGAGTTAACGTTTACCACTAGCAGATAACCACTGATAACCATGCACGCCTCGCTACAGCCGTCTATTTATTCGGATCTATCCGCCGTTCAGAGGGCGATGCTCAGCATACGCATTCGCTACAGGTCTGAAATTCTAATCATTTGCATATCATGCTCTACTTTACATTTCCTGAAAATTTCAGCTCACTCGCGTAAGTCCTTCATGGTGTTGCAATTTTCACAAACATGAGTTTATTTCAAGCGTCAGGTAGTTGGGCAAGTTTCCAGTCGCTAGAATAGAGGTTCCCAATTTTTTTCTTCACTCATGGTACTTTACTCTAAATCAGGGGTGTCAAACTCGCGGGCCGCATGCGGCCAGAGGTGAACATTTTTGTGGCCCAATCAATATATCCGAAGCAAAGTAAAATTAAAATAGAAATGTGAATTAGAAACGAAACCAGCATATAAAATTATAATATACTTTATTTATAAACTATACGGATCATTTTAAATTGTCCGCGCAAAAATTTAAAATTATAATTGGGTGAAATGGAGTCCGTTTCACACTAAGCTATCAATTAGATAGTACATAATCAGGTTTATCCTATTATAGCGAGGTAAGTTGATTATCTTGCTCCAAGGTTATCAATCAATTCTGGGATTTGAAACAAAAAATATGTAAGTTTTTACAAACTATAAATCAAGATACAAGCTTGTTCTCTGACCAAATATGGTTGCAAGATTTATCTTTTATGGTTGATATAACTAAACACTTATCCGATTTAGTCCCGCAGTGGACTGATCATTAAGACAAGGTTCCCTGCAGATCACCGAAGTCAAGCATCCCTGGCTGCGGTCAGTGTGCGGGTGGGTGACCCATTTGGATCAGTCTGCGTAGGGATCGAGGGTGTGCGGTATTGGTCCTCGTTAAACTGTGCTACCGTGAAGTGCTCGAAGTCGCGCGCAGGTCGTTGGGCTACCGAAGCGGGGTTGCCATCCCCTCTGCAGAGGAGGATCAAAATTGTGATGGCATGTCTTAGGATCATCCTCAAGGATGTTTCCCAGCCCGTCGCCATTAGCCCATCGTGCAGCTCTAGTGCGACGTAAATGAACTACAACAACAACAACTTGTCCGATTTAAAATTATCGTTACAAGGCGAGGATCAGATCATTACGAACATGTTTGACATAATTAAAGCATTCAAATGTAAACTATTTCTTTGGGAAAGGCAACTAGAAAATGAAGATTTAACGCACTTCCCAACGTGCAACAAGAACAAATCTAGTTTAGATGATACTGCATCGTATCAAAATTACGCAGAAAAAAATTTCAAACCTTAGAACAGAATTTGAAACAAGGTTTAAAGATTTTAATTCTTTGGAAGACAAATTTTGTTTGTTTTCTTCGATTTTCTCAATAAATATAGACTCAGTACCCAGTAATATGCAAATGAAAGTGATTGAGATTCAGTGCGACTCAAATTTGAAGGAAAAATTCATTGAAGTGGGTGTGCTTGAATTTCACGAATATTTACTAGCAACGTTTGAAAATACTCAAAAATTCGCGTATGAAATTATTTCCATGTTTGGAAGTACTTATCAGTGGGAGCAATTATTTTCCGTTATGAATGGAAATAAATCTCCTGTCCGAAAACGTATTAATAAAGCTCACGTTGGGTCAATTTTGAAAGTAGTCTCGGTCAATAAAATTTTTCCCGAAATAGAAAAGATAGTAGCAGAGAAGAGATGTCAAGTATCAGGACGTAAACAATAATTTAACTTTATATTTGTTTATTACAATTCAAAATAAAAATATTTGCTTCTACGAACATTGATATTTTTTTTTTTTTTTTGCCCACCTAAAGTTAAGCATTGTTTATTTGGCCCAAGTTAGCTTTTGAGTTTGACACCCCTGCTCTAAATGATCGATCTTCTTTTAGTGAAACCTTGAGACTTAGTAAAAACATTAATCAAAGAAGGGCTATTAATTGTTTTGAAAATATTTAATGATCGAATTTATATAAATTATTCTGGAAATATTTAATGAATGAATGAAGTAAGAAATTTTTTCATCACATCGTTTTAAAAATATGTACTAGTCTTAAAAATAGGTTTTATGTCAGGAAGTAGAATTAACAGGTTTGGAACGGCATCTATTGTCTAATTAATAAATTGATTTTAATGCGTGCATAAACTGAAAATAAATAAGCTAATATATGATTTTTGTTTAAATTTTTAAAAAAACTGCTGTTAGTTTTATTTGTTGCGATATACTGGTGCAATTTTTCATAAATACATATCCGTTTCATTATTCATTAAATATATTGTTAGTTTGAAAAAAATTTTGATTTATATTTTCTTTCTTCACTAACATTGTAATTAAATAATTTAATAAAAATAATAGAACCATTAAACAACTAATGGATAATTAATTAATATAAACTTAATGACAGGTTTGAGAAAATCTTAACTGATAAGTCAAATGAACAACTGACCATGTTTTTCAAATTCTGAAAAGAATTTCATAAATATTCAATTTGTTATATAATTTTTTAATCTAGTTCACTTTTGTGTATCCACCACNATTCTACCAATTGAAGCTGTCTGTGCTAACTATTTCCATCAATTTATGTTTTGTAGAACAAAAATAGAGAAAGTAAAAAGGTCATCATTAAAAAAGGAAAAAACAGAAATAATTTTAAATAGTTGACAAGAAAATGGATGTATATTGTTCATATTTGCCACTGATCGGCAAATTAAAATCCTATCCGCGGGCCGGATAAAACCTTCCAGCCGGCCACAGTTGGCCCGCGGGCCGTAGTTCGCCCATCCCTGGAGTAGACCAACCCAGAAACCCGAAAACTGGGTTGGCTGTTCAATAACAGTTAAAAAAAAACTTGTATGGAAATAATTAGTTAAAGCCCTTATTACGAACTTTTAAAAAGTGAAGAATAACATCGGGATCCGATTCCTTTTGCTGTCATACAAGTACTTGATCTAATCTGATTCGGGTGAGGTAATTTCAAATCGGAGATGAGTTTTGTTCGGAAAGTTCCAAATGGTATTTCTATTACATTTTATTTTGCTCAAAATGTATAAATTATAAAGAATGTATAGGTTTGCATACATAGAACATACCTGCCAACTCTTCCGGATTTTCCGGAAGATTTTATTTTCATATTTAAAGTGGTAGTAAATATATACTATTTTTTCTCTTATAAACTTAATTTTTAAATGATTTTGATCACCACTATTCTTACAAAAATGAAGCACATATATTAATATACGTTACTATCATGGTTGTCAACTTAAGTTTTTTCAAATACAACGTATTTGTTTGCTTAAAATTGAAGTTTTAATTCCATTTTAATACCACTGGGAAAAATGATAATGGAAGGGATTAAAAGTTGGCAGGTATGATTAACGTCACATAAAAAATTCTATAGTTTACAAAAAAAAATTCATTCTTATAACAGTCAGACAAATGTTAAATTCAAATTACATTCAATTAAGTAGGCTAGTATATGTTAAATCTTAAATAATATTTTCTATTTAGTTACTTAATTTATATTAAAATGTGCTTAAATTTATTTGAAATATACTGAAATATTCTTTGTGAATTTAACTAAAATAAAAATGTTTTATTGGCTAATAGGAATTAAGATGTGTTTCGCTTTTTTATAAAGGTGCAGGATGTCCCATAGTCTGTAGAAACCGTATATTCCACCGAAATTGAAACATTAATTTCAATAAATGTCAATCAAATAGAAACAACGAAAAATTAAAAATCTGAAACATAAAGTGTTCAGACAAAATGAACTTATACCATTAAATAACGCACAAATTTCAAAACCTGAAACTTAACTACATCAATCAAATGAACGAAAAATTTGCTTAGAATTGTCAAAAACAAATTATATCCATGGATTATATTTTCTTCCATGATAACAGTCATGTCCCCCAATTTTACATTCTATTTGACCAAATTCATTTACTTTTTAAAATTATGTTCTCAAATTAGTTGTAGTATAAAGTATACGATACGACTTTTTCGAAGTACCGATTTCGCTCAAATTTTGTATTTTGTCATGCGAAATTACATTTTTTTAAATATTGTAAAAACTTTTATGCATCATAATTCAAAATTTTTTCGACTAGTAATAAATAAAATAATAAATATTTACTGAAAATTATTTTTTGCATGAAATTATCTTTGGATAAATGAATTTTATAATTGCGTGTTTTCAATCAGCTTAAAAAATTTCCGAGATATGGTGAAATACGCAAAAAGTAAAACTAACATGAAGGGTCCTACCGCACTTTCGACCAAACTATTGGGACCATATTTCCCAGATTGCAGCTACCCCTTCATTTCAGGGGTCAGAAATCTGAATCCATCAAAAAGAGATATGTTTATTCAGAGAAAGTACGATCTTGTGTCCGATTTCGTAACTTAAAATATCGTCTGCACTGATTAATTAGCTTGTTTGAGGTCGCCCCCTCGAACCATTAAGATAGAGTCGTAGAACGTGATGATCTGAT